GGGGGGGGGGGGGGGGGGTGCTAGACAATGAACAAACAATTGCAAAGTTACCTCATTTTGTGCCTACTGCAAAAATGAATACTGATTAGCTACCAGCCAATTAACTACTTCAGAGTAGCCATGGTTTTTACAGAAGCTTTAATGTGTGAATTGTAAATCATTATCATACATTGTATGATGTCCACTTTCATTCCAAGAGTCAGTCACATACTTAAGTGTACCTGTGACGGAATGACATAACATTTCTAAAGTGGTTTGGTTTGGTTTTAAAATGTCTGTAAGTAGTGTGGTTGGGTCACTTGAATGAACAAGTACTGAAATTGTCCTAGGGGTGTTGGTTCCTCATGTGTTAATAGTGCTATGTAAGCTACACTTCTGTGTATGAAATAAGTGGGTGGGATTTTTTGTAGCTCTAGAACTCCAGCTTGGATGGTGTAGGAGCTACTTCCTTGGTGTGATCATAACAAAGACGCTATAAAAACACAAGTGTTACTGCAGCAACTTTAGAGGGAAGGATATGCTGGTAAGCAAGAGAGTTTCTAAAATTATGAAAAGTGACTTTTCTATTGCTTGAACTGGTGAAGCAAAGCTTACTGTAGACACATTATTAACTTACGGAAGAAACAGACACGTTGCTGTTGTGGGAGGGAAGGGAGAAGACAGGGTTCTCTAGGACCAAGCATTTGAAGAATGTTGTCTCGATCCAAAAAAATCATTACATTCCATTGCAAGTAGCTGCTGCTGCTGCTGCTGCTAGGATAGATAAAAAGCTTTGATATAGGGAATGCTTCCTGTAAATCAACTGTATTCTTCAGTCCTCTGTGGAATAACACTTCCAAAATACAGCACATTTAAGTAGTAAGAAAATTGAATGATGAATTTATTCTGAGAATTTATAAAGATACAATTCAGTTTGTACTGTAAAATAAGTGGATGAAATGGAAGCCTATAAGGATTAGCTTAAAACTTGTTCTAGAATATCACAGAACTTGAAGGGACTATTTGTCTCCTATTTAATGTCAGCATAGTCATCTGAGGAAGAAATGGTTAGAAAGCATTAAATGGGTTTCAGTGCCTAAAATTTGCCTGCCATTAGATAGGCTAAAAGTTACTTAAAGCGAATGTTATCAAAAAGCTAGAATGTATGAGTCTAGATTAAAAAAAAAAAAAAAGACTCCAACTAATCTTTAGTTGAAGATGAATGTCCAGGATGGAAATCAAAGTTCTGTAATGCTGTATACTCAATTAGCAAACCGTCTGCTCTGTAAGTACCTGTGCTGTAATCTACACAGCTTTTGTTTGTGCTCCTGGGTGTGTTACTTGATCACAAGGTGCTGGCTCCACTTTATGATCTCTTAAACCTGGTGAAACAAAGAAATTAACAGTCAGAATCCAACAGAACTGTTAAGCAGGTATTCTTTTATTGGCAGCACTGGGGTTGCCCTGGGGATTCTCCACCATAAGGGCTCCCAAGAACTAGCAAGGGACATCAGTTTACATACACACAAATCATACATATTCATTAGATTTTCTGGAAAGGGGTGTTTTATGGTAATGAGTTCCTAGAACTTATTTACATAATCCAAGCATGTGTAGTGAAAACAGGGTGAGGGTCTTTGGTGGTCAGGGGAGGAAGTAAGCGGTCTTCTTCACAGTGTTGGCTAGTTGACCCTCTTTCCAGAGCGTGCGCTGTGAAGTAAAGTTCAGGTGTCTCCCTCCTAAGTCAGCAAAATGAGTTTCCCTATAATAGGGTCTCTGTGTCTCTTTGTTAGAGCCCCCCTTATCTCATTCTAGGAGTTGCCCAAGAGTCCACTGAAGGCCTTGAGTCTGCTATCACTGATCTACGTAGGGAGCCTAACAAGCATTTCAATCTTACCTAAACAGACCAAGGGACCTAAGGAAACAGTTGAGGAGTGAGGAGTCCTTGAGAAACAAATGAAGCAAAACATAAGCAAAGCTTTCATACATCACAGTTTAGTCTTAATAATTGTTAGAAATTAATTTATTTGAGCTCTTTCATTTCCTTTCACTGGACACACCCTTAATTACTTGCCTGGAATATCCTGAGGTATCTTAATATGTCTCTATATGAAGAAGCTACTTATCACATGCAAGTCATAAATGTGCCTTTTTCCTTTCCTCCTTCCCTTCTCCCCTGCTTAACTATCTGCCTATATGATGTTCTGGGAAAGGAGACACAAGACTGTATCACATTTACCTCCTCTTAGCACGTATGTGCCATAACAACTCTTTCTGATAGTGGAAAGCGCCATTAATACCAACTATAGGAGGTGCCATTTACTTCTCCTGCTAGGCACACAGCCACAACAGCATTGACTGAAATCTGTAAGCCAGACAGTAAGGGTTCACATTGTGCCGAGGCTGACAAACTGGTTAGAGTATTTCCTAGCTGGATGTTCTGAAATTTTTTATTACAGACTTTTATCTACAGATGCACACATTAATATGTGTTCTCTTCCACATATTCCTGCTAGCCTCTGCACAGATCTAGTGAAAGTCCCTTAATCCTCTTTTGTGGGCAGGCAGGATTCTTACTGGAAGCAGGACCTTAAATGACAGCTCTGGGTGGAGGACATGGCAGTGCACACACCGAATGTAGCTTTTTCCTGTTGCCAGATGTTCAAACTGGTTTGCTTTGCTGCTTTTCAGCTGGGTGTGGATCTATGACTTCAGGGCTTTAGACCCTGAAGTTTGGGGTGACTTGCCCAACAGGTGACAGGTGGGGAGGATGTGCCTTGCTGAGGATCAGAGATACATATCCCTCAGTGGGCAGGGCATTCAGACATGAATCGCCCAGCAGTGTGGGTATGACAAAATGTAACTGCAGAGCAAAGTCATGAGACTTATGAGGAGGAGGAGAAAAACCACAGTTGCTCCCTGTGTGATCTGCCTGTCTGCCAAGAACAACATGGTAAAGGGAGGTGGGAAAGGAACAGGAGAAGGAAGCCAGGAGGTTAGGTTGAGGGTAGAGGGTAAAGAATGCTTTGAGACTTTCCAATATCAAGATGACAGGTCTTTCCAGAATGATACTGGTATCCCTGTTCAAACTGAAGGTGAAAGCACCGGTTCTAGAATGACCACTGTGAGATGAACAGGTTACAGATGGACAGAAATCACAGCATGTTTTTCTGTAACGGAGCAGGCCAGTTTTGAAATAACCTGGAATAGCCCTGCAGGGAAAGGTGATGTCTCATTTAACCGTATTGGGTTTGAGTGGAACAGCTACAAGATGGTGATTGCTGTGGGTGCAGTCTTCCTTTGACACAGTCTCAGCTCTTTAGGAAATGCAGCAGGGAAACAAGCAGTGCTAAAGCAGTGTTTTCATTTTTTCTTAAACAAGGTGATGCAGAAAAATAAAGTGGGAGTGGCAATCACTGATCCTGGTTGATGCAGTTTTCTGGGTTTTAGATCCTTGGGACTCCTCAAAGAAACAGGAGCTCTTGCTCCACTGTGGAAACCGGGGCACTGTGAATCAGTGGTAGAACGTAAAAATTAAAAGCCAGGAGGAGCTGACTTTATTACTTGTTGAAACCTGAAGGCATGTTATCTAACTTCACTAACAGACCCTCTTGGCCTGTGTAGAGCAGTGCCAGAAGTGAACTAAGCAGCAGTAGAAGACCTGTCTTCCTAAAAATTGTCACATTACTGTAATACAGAAATCCTAACTTCTCAGATTAAAATACTTGTGTAAAGACTGATTTACTTGAAAAGTATTTAATCTGCCAAGTAAGGTAAAACAACCATCTTTGTCTCTGGAACCACAGAAACAAACTCTTGAAGTTTTAAGGACAGTATGGCTCCCCCGTATTGAAAGGCACGGGTCTGATTTTTAGAAGCAATTTAGGCCTATGGTCAGACTCAGGAAGAAGCCTGGTATTTAAAATACAGTTCAGAATTAAATTAGGTAGTTAAATTTAGGCCAGCAAATTAGAAGCTCCCTGATGAACCAAGGACACACCCAAGATCCTGTTGACAGCTGTACTTTCTCTTCCTCACAGAACAGTAACTAGTAGTAAAGTTATTTGGGGGCCTGAATTTTGCCCCTACACATACCTAGACGCTGCTGTGCTCTCAGTCAACCAGGATGTATTTGCTGGAGCAGCAACACAATTGCTCACCCTTCTGCACAAATAGACAGTAGCACTGAGTTGAGCCCAGAGCACTCATGGCAATTTGAAATGGCAGCAGAAGGTGACAGCCTGCTAGCTGTATTCTTGTCAACTTGACCATTCAGGTTCAGCATGAACAAGTCCAAGCTTCTACTTCTCACCTCTAGAAGAGTGGTCACACACGAGGCTGACATGAGATACTCTGTGCCCCTCTTCTTGCTTTAACACATGCAGCAGAAGTGATCACCAAGACGGGGAGAAAAACAAGCTTCTCTCATCACTGGGCTAGACTGCCATACTCAAGAACATTTACAGACAGCAGGAAAACCTTAAGTAGAAGGCAGCAGGTGCAGCTGCTCCCAACTCAGCTATGCTAGTGCCCAGAGAAGGGTGGCCTGGAATTCCCCAGGCTGAGGACAGGCTCAGCCTCCATCCTCTAAGGGTTTCAGGCAGGCAGCACCTCTACTGTGACATTTTAGAAGAGGCCAAGGCCATCATCATTACCCGAATTAATGACTTGGGCTTCTGAATCTGAGAGAAAGGATCACAGAAAAATCCATCTCTGCATTCCCAAGTACAGCTTTCAGCCCTGGTTCTCTAGAACCTGTGAACTGTTTGGTGGGTCTGGCTTTCACCACTCATTGCTAACTCACATTAAGGGATTCCCTTCTCAAAGCCAGGTGCTAAACAACTAGGCATGGAGATGTTCAATGTTACTTAAATCCATTTCTTGAATTCAGACCTAAGACTGTTCACTTTCATGAGCTTGTGTTGTTGCAGCTCGGGTGGTTTAAGGTGGTGTTTCCTAACCACTTGCATCTACCACCAAGGAGGAACAAATAGAGGCAAGTATGTGACGACTCAGCTGTTGTCACACAGAGTTCAGTACTCGCACTGTTCCTGCTCTTTGGCAGAGCAGCAGGGCAGACAGCTGTAGTGAGGTCCAGCAGAGCTCATGAGGCAGAGCAGTCCTCTTAACTGCCTGAGTCATGTTCAAACAGGAGACTTAAGCTTTATTACGCTAAGCAGAAGAAAATGTCGATGCCTTCAAAAACCTGGTTCTTGCAATTCCACTGATCAGAATGGAAGTCCGCTAATATCAGTACAAGGACTAGAGCAAAACCAGGCTGTCCTTCCTTCCTGAGCTCAAACCATAGCGTAAAACATAGGATAGTGGGCAGAGACAGCACTCAAGAGACTCATATCAAAGTGGGAAAAAAGTATTGAAAGATTTGGAAGTTACTGGAAAGTATCTTGCAGGCTCCACAGTAGCTGTCCTCAGTACACAAAATGAAGGCAAAGCCTATCTGATGAGCTCAGTGAAGAGTACTGCTGAAGAGCAGCAGCAGGTGGAGAGCAAGGCAGAGGTTGAGTTATTCGTGCCTCTGGGTACGTATGTGCATGTTCATTAGGCCAAACAGATGGACCCAGATGGCTTTTTTGCTATGCCCATCTCCATTTCAGGTTCTGGTGATAAATGGCAACATAAGAGTCTTTTTTCCCCCTAAATAAGCCTTTGCAGTTGACAGTGGATGCACAACACACTAATGTAATGCAGAAGAATGCCCACTGCTCAATCCCAGAGTAAGACTTTTTTTTTTTTTTTTTTTTTTTTTGGAGACAGATGCTGTTAGATAATGTTAAGGAAAGACAGACATGCTTATGGACAGATTTAATGTATCACAACAGTACAGATTCATATTGTTTCAGATTATTTTCCTTTAGGTGAAATTAGATATTATAAATATCTTTGAGATAAAAGTATTTAAAATATGAACCATTTATTTACTTTTGCTCTTCTTTATGAGATTTATTATTAGATCTATGACTCAACTTTACATATCACCTCAAGCTTTTTTCACACAGATCAAATAGTAACTTAGGCTAAGGAAAATTTGAGAATCAGATTTTAAGAATTTGACTGAATTACTTTTCTAAGAACACAAAATATTTGCATCTTTACATTCAAAGTTGTTATCCCTTGATAACATCCCTTTTATATTTAAGCAATATGCAGTACTCAGCCAGACAGTAAAATTAATCACCTACGTCTAAGTTCAAGTTTACCTTGCTTTTACTACTACATGGTAATCTTCCAGGACTTCAGCTTCTCTACTACAAACTTTTGACATCTCTATGGTGAGAAAAAAAAGTGTCATTGAACTGTTTCCCTATGTCTATTAAAATAGACAGCCCAATAAACTAGAATGAAGAAATACCTAGTTTTGTAAACTTTGATTAAAGACTAAGGTGCCTAATATTTTCTCTGAATTATCATGTTCAAAGTATACTTAACTTGAAATGTTTCTAGATCATGTTCAATTTGGACAGAGTGCACATCATTCTGGATGAAATGGTGCTAAATGGTTGCATTGTGGAAACAAACAAGAACAGAATTCTTGCCCCTCTGTTTGTGCTTGACAAAGTAGCAGAAAGCTAGGAAGACGCAAGACTGACTACAGTATTTTACAAAACAAGAGCATACCGACAGCAGTTTTCTGATGTAAGAGCAACTCATACAATATTCAAATTAGTAGGAAAATATTTCCTGTTTCTCCTATACCCTTCATACCTAATTGAAAGGTACAGCTAAACATGATTAGCTTCAGTTTCCAAGAACCTTCAATTTCAGATGCAGCTTTAGTGACCCTGGAGAAGTGTCTCTAGAACAGTCAACTTTTTTTTAAAACTGACTGAGGATAATGTAATGGAAACTTACACATGACCATCTAGGTATCACTTTGAATTACATAGCACTGTGCCGGACCTAAGAGAAGAGAAGAGAGAAAATATGGAAATATACATTCAAACAGAGTTTCAGTGCTTCCTGTAAGAAGCAACTGGATTTTTTTAATTTTCATACAAATGTACAGTAAATTAAAGTTCCGTAATTTTTATGACCACTTTTAAACTAGATTCATCCTTCATCAAAAACCTAATTCCATGCAAGTCATGGTTACAACATGTAAGTAACAGACACATAAATGTATTTAATATTCATGTATACTGTGCAAGTTGTAACTAGAAGTATTTGGCACTTAATAAAAGATAATTAAAAGTTTTATCATATTTTATCATGTTGGCTTCATAACTTACTCAAAACCTCTTCTATTGTGGCACACCAGTGTATTCATGCATTATAATTAAAAGGTTTACAAAAGTGAGTAATGAGATATGCAAGTTTCCTAGTACCAGCTAGGTACCAAATCAAGTCTCCCTTCTCGAGTAGGAGGATGTAGCTACGCTAACTTGCATTCACAGGCATACAACAGGCTGACTCATATCTATGTACTGCACTAAGTCCCTGAAGAGTTCGCGATCTGAGCTTACTTACCTCTCTAAAATTATGGTATCTGGCTCCTTCATAACCTCCACACCAACACTAGGCATAACGTGATACTGACAGAGCACACCCTGCATGAGCTCTGTGTGAAAGCACGGAACAGTCACATCTGAATTGTTTCTAGAACCAGGGTCTAAGGAGCAGAGAGTGAAGTGCTGTGTGGGAGAACAGTCCACATCACTTCAAAACAACAACACATTCAGACACTTGTATGCAAGGTTTATACAACTGTTGTTGAAGCACAATAATCACAGGAGTGTGGGGGGGGGTGGAGATTCCCCTTTTATTTTGCACTGGAAAAACCTGCAAAGACAATGCCTGTGAAGTCCCATGAATAATGCTACAGAAAGAAATCTGACATCAGCCTGATTTGTATGCGTGAAGCAGAATCTTTTGGCAAGACCTCCCTCAGGAGTGGTCCAAGAAAAGACCTACCAAAGAGAACTGGCACAGAACAAAACTTGCCACACAGATTCAACTGAAATATTTTTTCTTTTTTGATACCAAGTACTTAAATATCTTTAAAGACACATGAGCATCTCGCTTTATCTTACTGTAAGCCACTTTTTATAAATACCTCACCACATGCTGAAACCAAGGCAGGCACTCTGTGTCAAGTACAGCTGAATCAGCTGCATCATCTGACCCAGTTTTTGTGCCAATGCAATGTAGAACTATTAACCTCAGGTCACATGGGCCCACTGAAGAGCACCAAAAGCTGCCACATACGGTGTTATCACTGCCAGACCAGTTCTTAAAAAGTTGCACTGCGTGATTCTGAAAAGATCTGAGCACAGAAATGAGTTTGTGAGATCAGTTATTGCCATGTAGTTCTTTTAAACCATGGAAAAAAGAATGGCACTTTGTTTGGAACATGTACAAAGATTTAATCAACGTAAGTATTAATGAAGGATTCAGGAGACAGTTTTATATGTTGCAAACATTTTAATGATTACTTTTGAGCTTACACATTGGGTGTTTCTTTTAAACTTCAAACTGCAACAAGTTAAATAAATGTTTATAATATACAAAGAAAATACAACCAAAAGTAAAACTTGCTTTAAGTGTGCCTTGCACTAGGAACCAGTGTTTTTTAATAGCTTTATTGTTGAGCTGCACAAACACACTTAAGGATTTGATCTTTATAGCAGGGCATTTGAGAAATCAAAATATATTCCCACTTGAAAGAAAAAAGAAAAAGGTTGTGCATGATTATATGCAAAAACCCACTAAAATACTCCAATAGTGCAGGCACCATTAAAAAAAAAAGCTGGAGATGCCCATTAACTCTAAGTTTTAAGGAAGCAAGTTTCCGACCAGTTAGCCTAAAGCCAGCAAAACAGGGATCAGTGATGGCAACTGTAGTGTACAAGGTATTAAATGACAAACTTTACACAAATACACTGTTAGAAATTTGTGTCAGTGAACACTGAAAATCTGATGATCTGTTCTTTGGAACAGTCAAACATAACCACCTTAATTTCCAGTTGTGCAAGCCCTTGAAGCATCACACAGTGTTCTGTGCCAATTTCTTGCTGGCTGTGAAGTTACAAGGATTTATTTTGTCATTAGCAGCTAACAAACTTATTCCACATGTTCCTAAAGCCTCACAGGTGAAAAAAAAGGCAAGTCTCATCAGAGCACAGCGTGGAGATCATATTTTTTTGCACACAAACACAAGAGGCTTCGCTAGTATCAAAAAACACTTTCTCATGTCCTGTATTGCAGTCCGTGGCTCAGTTGAGGTGGAAGCCTTTCTCCATTGTAGCAGCTAGCAGGCGCTCTCTCATAATCTCCTCAGAAGAATACTCAGGCAACTTTAGGTAATGCACACATGTATTCACAGATGGGTAACTTGCATCTGTAGCATCAACCTGAGAAAAAGAAAGAACACTTTTTACTGCAGTTGTCCACACTACTAGCTACAGAGGTTAAAAACTGTAAGGCCCTCTAATTCATGACATTTACCGCACACATAACACCAGTCATCAAGAAACAGTAGCATCAGGAAAGCTACTTATAAAGTAAATATAAGCTGGTCTGTAAGTTAATTCTTTTATATTCAAATATGAAGTCAGAGAACAAACCCGAAACAGAGAATAGTACTGAGAGCTTAGCATAGTGTCATAAATTAAAACCAAACAAAAAACCCAGTATTGTTTCTTAACGCAGCAACGATTACATTCAAAAGCCAAAACAGTTGCTTTGCAGGGCAACGGGAAGAAGCCGTACCTTGCGTACAACAGTGAGGCGGGGATGTAGGTTTGCCAGTCCTCCTGGTGGGAGTGTTGAACAACCGGTGGTGAACTGGAGAAAAGCCTTCCTTTCATCCGAAGACATACCACACAAGACTCTCACAAATCGAAGGAATCCAGGGCTTTACATAAATTAAAATAATTCGTTACAATAACATTACAAGAGAGTGTTTTTTAAATTTCCCTTAACTTGAAACAGTACAATTACAATCTTTAGTCATGTCGAAGCAGTCATTCTAGTGCCTGTTCACAGTACTGAGTTAAGACTAAAACATCAAACCCACACAAATGCTTCTTTAATCTTCTTGCTGACTATTACACAGAAAAATGTAGGTAAATAAGAACTTTTCTCCATACTTATCTTCAAGTGTTATTTGGGGATCTTGCGAATGAATGGGTAGAGAAGTAGGTAAGAGCTCAAACCTATTCTCCGAGAAGAATCCAACTGACTATAATCTTAAAGATTTTTTTTCTGTACCACTTCTGTAGCATAAAGCCACTTCAATTTCTATATAATTTCATTTCTATCCTCATGCAAAAAAAAAAAAAAAAAAAAAAGGGAAAAATGTAACAGACTACAGTAGACCTTCAAGGAATCCTCCAGACACCACTGCTTTCATCCACACCAGCCCAGGGAATGAGGGGGAGGAGAGGGCATGGAGAAAGAACAGCCTGCTGACACACACCCTCGGGTATCAAGCACTGTAATCTCAGCTCCACCTCTGCATGCAAGGCAGAGAAGAATCATCCCACACAGCATCTCAGACTGATTAGGATTCTTCACTGTGCTTATACTAACACAGTTCAAAAATTTGTATGTTATTTCTACCAAACATGAGAAGCAGCAAAAAACCTCCAAACCCAACAAACCCCAAAACATCAAGACCACCTCCTGATATCCACTGACCAGTATATTTGTTCCTATCTGTCCTGGTTTCGGCCAGGATAGAGTTAACTTTCCTTGGACTGAGGGAGCACAGCTGGAGGGCCAGGCCCGGATCAACTGCTGGAGCATTCCACGTCAGGTGACGTCACGCTCAGTACAGCGGGCGCAGGCTCTCCCAACGCCCCTGGTTTTGGTTTTACGGGTTGGCATGGCAGGCTTTTTTTGGTGTGGTCGGGATCGCTGTTGGGGACAGGCTCCATACCGGTCACTGCTCAGTGAGCCCCTGCTGCATTTTACCCATTTTGGACTTACTATTGTTACTGTTGTTTTTATTACTATTACTAAATTTTTTTTTTTATTCAACCTACGAATTTCTTCTTTTGTCCCACCCCTATTTCACTGGGGAGGGAGGAGTGAGGAAAGTAAACAACTGGCCACATGACAATTGGCTACCAGCTGAGTTCAAACCACAACATCTGCATAGCGCATTTTCTTTTTCAACTACACTTGAAGACAAAGTAAGAAACAAGGAACAAGTAACAACTATGCTCAGCTGAACAGAAATTATAACCACCACCAAAGATGAAAGTAAAAACTCTAAAATGATATTTTTAATAGCCTGTATTAGTTAGCTGACATTACATTTCCACTATTTGTTCATATTCTAACATTCTAAATTTTTTTATCCTCTCTCATCACAAAAACACCAAGTACTTTCTAACCTATCTGTTGTAACATACATGGTTATTTCATTTAGTTTTAGAACATCGCTTGCTCTTTGGTGACCACCAATTCCATCCACTTTTAGAACATCACTTGCTCTTTGGTGACCACCAATTCCATCCAATTTGGCATCTACATTGGACGTTTTGTCACTTAATGTAACTTTTTAGCTACTATTTTACAATCACTCAGAATAAAAGTACCTATCTCGTGTATATCCCAGTTTAGGTTCAGTATAATTGATGATATCCTCAGCTGCCCAGGAAGGTGATTGATTTCCACAAAGAATCATCTGAACTTCTTCATGGCTGAAGGAACTCAGCTTCTCCATTGGAAAGACTCTATTGAAGCCATCTTTAATTTACAGAAGATACAGTTATAAACATAAGTCAAAAGAATGTTTATAAAATGATGTCAGCATTTCAATTATATTTTAATCAAACCCAAAATCAATGAATAGTTTATTAATAAAGGTGAACAGAATCTCTTCAAGATTAAAAATGACATAACTAAAGGTGCTATGAAATTACTATCTTATCTACTGCCTTCTTAATTTCGAAGTTTGTCTTGAAAGCCACTCTATGCCACCACTTTAGACCAGTACACCCTGAACACCAATTAGTCCACCTAACTGCATATATATTCTGCCTATTTAAAATTACCTCTGAATGCCTCCATCTGTTTCTGTATACCAGTATGCATGCAGAAGTCAAACATGAGATCTACATACTCCTCTGCATTATCCATGGTTACAGTCTGCAAAGACAATAGATAAATACTGTAAGAATTCACTTTGCATTAGAGTTACTGCTGAGACATTAACCATTTAACTGCTGTTTAAATTGTAAAGGTAGGTTGTTTCCTTACCTCATCGTCACCACCTGGCTTGAGATCCACCGCTGTAAACCCATATACTTTGGACGAAGGGCAAAACTGAAAATTTAGACTTCAAAATACAAAGATAGTTACTAACTGCAAACAACTCTGCTGCTGCTTTTGCAAATACACCAGATTTATAAACTGCACCCCACACACCCAAAAGCATCTCACTACATTTCAAACCACTGTTTATGGAACATTTTGCATATACACTAACAGTGGTAGCACACTACAGATTAGTAGTGGACTACACAGGCAATATGTGTTTCAAATTGATGGTATGCCATGTGTGGGTACTCATCCACTATTTATTTAGATTTGATAACCACTGAAAATTTCATAGAGTTTAATACCTTTAAATTACCAGCTTCAAAACTACTCAAACTGTTCATTCAGTTCGCAAACAAAAAATCCTTCATGTTAATTTCCAGCACTAACGGTTATAGAGCCACTTCAC